TCATCTACCGGTATGATGAGTACATCGTCTCTCATATGAAAAAGGTCATTTTGATTGCTTAAAGTTAATGGAAAAAGGTTTTCTAGCCTTTTTATGTATATCAGGGACACCTGTGCTTTCTATTTGGGACATTCCAATTCTTGATCCGATGCCTGTGGTTCCTGCAATTCCAGAAAGAGTTTATTCACTTTCGCTCTACAAGTTGTTAAAAGAACACTGATCATTGATTTAGGATATAAGTACATTTGATTTGAAATTTTACATCATTTTAGATATTGTGTAATGGGCAAGTTGTTCATCAAACTCACAGTCCTCTGTTATGTAAAGCAGTGTTAGATAATGTCTCTACTGAAGAACAACAAACATTCTCTATACAAACTATAGCTGCTAATGGTTTACTTTCTACCTCCTGTACCGTCCTGTTTACTACATCACAAACTAACTCTAGTGATAGTGATGATAGTGATGAAGACAATGATGCAGATTTATCCTCCATCTTGTCCAAAGTTCACCAAGGTCAAGGTGAAAAGAGAAGAGTGAGTACAGACATTTTATTTTAGCTATACAGGAATAGTGGCATGATTCAAGTGATCTACAATATCTTGGGATGTAAGCTTCTGAGACACAATATTTCAACATGAAATCCATTTATTATCTCCAAACATCTTCAATTATATCTCTGCATGAAATAGCCCTGTTTATGTCATTAAAGACAGAATTTTGGAAATTGGAGCTTTTATACAGCTCAAACAACAAAACAAAATCAGAAAATTAAAAGATTTCTCAGTGTATTTACGACATGCAATGGACACAAAAAATCTCACTTGTAGCAAAAAGATGACAACATAAGTATATCATGGTGGACTTGCATAGAAATTATTGGTGCCTTAAAAGCCAAATTAAAGCTGTAGAAATTTGTAATCAGTCTTTGAATGAATATTTTTGTTTTGAATTAATGAGCACATACTCTACTGTTTTAGTTTATTGGCGTTTATGATTATAATCCAAAACAACATTCACCGCAAGATTTAACTGGTCAAGAATTAACCTTTCAAACTGGTGATGAAATAACAGTTTTCGGTAATCAAAGACCAGATGGCTTTTACCATGCTGAGGTTAGTAAAACACAACAGAAATTGCTTAATTTAAATGGATTGTAAAGAGGTTTTCTAAAGGGTCTTATGTGATACATCATACACTGAGTGTTAATGGAATTGCAAGAACCACAGATGTCTGATTAAAAATTGGAATGGTGCAAAATAAATGCTATCAGTGTTCCCGATACACATGAAAAGAATACCTTTTTACCTCCCTTTAAATACTCTTCAAATTTGAAAATACATTTCATCAGCAAAAAAGCTATATTTGCATACCTTATTCTTCTTACAATCCTAGTGCTATTCTGTATACCAATGTCTACTTGTAAAAAGTCATTGAAATTCATTTCACTTCAGTTAAATGGTAAGAAAGGTCTGGTACCAGCCAGATTTATAGAAGAACTTCCTCCCTCACCTTCCAAAAACAAGGTACTTAATTTATGATTGTATCATGAGAAAAAAAGGAAAGAAAAAAACAATTTTTTACAAGAATAATTAAACTTGGGTATATGAGGACCCTTTGTACCAGCGGGTCCTTGGTGAATCTCTGTACCCATTGATCTGTACCCTTTTTCAGTTGGGTTACTGGAATATGAGAAAAGATGACTTATTCATGGTCACTGAACTTGAACACACCAACCTAGACCAGAACTAACTTCCACCTCTTTTTTGTGTTGGTTAAGGATCTAACAATTATGCTACAGAACTTTTACCAATACTCATTAATGATCCGAAGAATTTACGAATGAACTTTTATGTACATTGATGACCAAATTTTTGCTTAAAAGTTCTATACCAGTATAAAATCGCTGTATTACTATCGTTTATTGCTTCACTTTTCTTTCAGTCAACAAAAGTCACTTACAGTCCCGCACCTAAACCACAGCCTCGATTTCGATCAACGGCCAGTTTGAGACCAGGAAGCCACAAACCAACCTCACCACCTCAGACACATTTGTAACATAATATGGTTGAAATTTCATCAGCATTATCATCAGACCTCATTATGTTTTAACCGTATATTTTCATAGAATTATAATGTCCTTAATGTATTCTTGTACAATGGTACATCTCATTTGCATAATTTCATTGTACAAATATTATGTCCCAAGAGCTTGTTTTGGCATTTTGAAAAACCAACATCTAAATAGTACAAAAAAAAAAAATCTTTATGTATATTATTTTATAGTAGGGTTGATTCCTATAATGTTGATACTGTTATATATAGATGCAATAATATTTATTTTTCTAAAATAAAAAATGGCTGCCAACTACTGCCAATGTATTCCAACAGTTTTATCATAGTTGAATTAGTCAATTTTGTAAATTAAATTTTCTGATAAATTATTGCATTTATATGAATATTTGTTATGTTATTTATTAAATTTTTAAGATAATCTTTGAATGAAATGATTCTGTGTGGTATACACCTGATGATGGCTATGTGTAATATAGTAAGGAATGATCTAGAAATGCTTCAATGCATAGGGTTTATTGATAGTAGCGGATCAATTCAAACTATGCATTGATTTGAAAGGGAAGATTTGGCCAGCTTTTTCGCCCCTCCATTTGAATAGAATAAATGTTCATAATAGTTCTTAGGTTGTTTGATATTAAAATATTATTGTTCCAACAATTGGCACAGAATTCCTTCGCAAGGCATAGAGTGAATGCATAGACATATTACTTATTGTATACTGGATGTTGTTTATCAAGTAAACAGAATAAATGAATAAAAGGATAAACTTTAAAAAGTAAGTGGCAAAGCAAAGCATTAATTGATAGTAGCGGATTAATTAAAGCTATGCTTTGTTATGATTTAAAAAAAAAATTTTTCGAAATTTGCAAATACAAAAAAAATGATTTCGTTAACAAATATCACAAATTGTAAAGCCTGTTGTGTAAAAGTAATGTCAATGCATAGCATTAATTGGTAGTAGCGGATTAATTAAAGCTATGCATTGATAATCATGAAAATAAATGAAAATAATATGGGATTATTTCCATCAATGAATATGGTGTCCAATTTGTGTTTATTTTTTGCAAAAAAAAAAAAAAATGCTGTGTGATTGTGGAATGTGTTAAAAAAAGGAAAGAAAAAAAGATGGAAAGCACAGCACAGCATTAATGGGTAGTAGCGGACCAATTAAAGCTATGCCATGTTTTCATGTGTGGAAAATTGATTCCAATGTGAGATTGTGCATCTATGCCTTGTTAAAATGATTTCTGTGGTCAATAATGGGTATGATATGCTTCAAACTATGCTATTTTCAAAAATATACATGGCAAGAAAATTAACAAAACTATTTAAGTATATAATTTTTGTCAGAAAGCATAGTGTTCAGCATAATAGCCTAATTTTAGATCTACTACAAATAAATTGTACATCAGATGTATACCATTCATTAACTGAAACATAATTATGTGCTATGTTCTGGTTACTGTGAATTCTAATCAATGAAAGAAGTGCAATAATATTTTATAGCTTCACAGTAACGAAAACTTTGCATATGCAAACCTATCCATTAATTGATTTTCAAGTTTAATTTTGTATAAATGTAGGTATTAAGGACAGTTATTAAGTCTTGTAAAATATATCCCCATAGGGCATAATGTAGATAATCATAAATTGTACTTAATAATAACAAATATTGGTGCTATCTTTTCTTATTTACCTCATATAAAGTGAAGGCTTTAAAGTATATAATCGTTGGTTAGAATTCTTTCTGTGTGTATACTAATATTTTCAATTATAAGATTTTTGTCTTGTTATAACTTCTTTTGTGTTAAGATGTCACTTTTATTAGTCATTTTGACAAATCGTCTGTGATATAAAATATCCTTTTTATTTCCTCATTTTCATCTTTCATTCACGTGTCTTTTTAAAGCTGTAATTTCAAAAATATGTAATGTGACATTATATTTTTCATCCTCCAAAACTTAGTTGATGAAAGAGCAGAACAGTATAGGTTATTACTGACTTTGTTGACTTGTTGTTGAAATAATCTTTGTCATTTATTTAACATGTTGGAACTTATCATTATATTTATATTAATATGTACTTTGGAAGTTATATCTTAAAGTAACGTATATTGCAGCTCTACTGTGTTGTTTTAGCCCAATAATACCCATCAGAATCAAACTGTTCAGACAAAACAAGGAGTTCAAGTTGGTGCATTTCAGTACCTGGACACTTCAACTACTGAACTGCTTGGCCACAGTGAATACATCTTAGCAAAGTCATAAATGCAAAGAATTCTATTTTATCAATTGTTCAAGGGCATTTGGTCACATATTTCCAACAATCAATAGGTCTTTGATGATGAATTTTTCACTGTGGCATAGGAACCACATAATTATGGGCAGACTGAGGATATGTTCCTGAAATAGCGATTGGTTAATGGAAATCTTACAAGATGCACAACTGGTCAAGAAATATTACCTTTTAGAATATACGAGTGTGTATTCATCAGTTGGACTTACCAGGTGCCATTAGCTATAGAATAGAATCTCTATATAAGATAATATATCCATTAAACTAAGTATAATGGATTATTAAGTTAGTTTTAATGATTTATTGCTGGATCCTGTCCTATATTTCTGACACCAGGTAAGTCCACTGATAAACAAAGACTCACTTGGCCAAGTTTAAAAATTTCAATCTTTTGGTCATCTAAAGAGGTAAGGTAACAATCCTTTAATAAAACCTTTTTTTCTGTTCCTGAAGCTTGCACAGCCTGATGCCTAATGGAATTCAGTTACTGTGTCATCCAAATGACCAGATGCTTTTCAATTTCAGAGAAAATCGGGTTGTAACATCTTATGACAGAATCAGATGAACAGCTTATGACATGATCAACAATTTGACATTCATCAAGCTCATAAATTTTAAAACGAGTTCATTTAACACAATACTGACATATTTATTTATAGGCTGAACAAAACATGTAGACCTGAAGAAATACAGTGGAATGTCAATAAGATTTCAATATGACATAAGAAATGATACTGCATGTAACTAAACAAAGAAATCAAAGACTCTTATTTACCATCTTGGCAATTGAATGTTATAGAACGGTAATATTTTTCCTACATAATCTTCACCATGTCAAGCCATTACGAACTTTGTCTCAAATCTTGACTGCAATAGCCACTTTTCTTGTATCACAAGTTTTTATATGCAGTCATTTGATTGGCTTTAGGTATAGCTCATACAGCCAATCAGAGGCCTTGACAAAAAGCTTGTCAACACTAAACTATAATGTTTACAGTTTTTCTGTTGCGGGGTATGATTGGCTGTATTTGCTGGTGTACAATCCAAACTAGCTTGTCATTGTGAAGATGCTACATAAAAAATAATAATTAGTTGTTTGTGAAAAGGTACAGTACAGTAAACAAAGATATATTAAGGCCTTAGTATGAACTAATGCACTGTGTGAAATAAACATGATGCAGAAAGGTAACAATGAACAGAAGCTTGTTCATTTATAAGTCATTTGAGTACCATATAACTGGTTTATCCGGTAGTTAAGTCAGTTTCTAAAAATTCTAAGTCAGATAGTTTACATTTCAAGCAAGATTGTTTACATTCACAATCAGATTGTTTGTAAACATGATCACAGTAAGAAAGTTTACATTTATGGTCAGATAGATTACATTCATGTTCAGATAGTTTACAGTCACATTGGACAGTTTACGCATTTATTATATTCACACTTGGATAGTTTATATAAACTGTCAGATAGTTCATATTTATGTTTACATTCATAATCAGATAGCTCATATTTATGTTTACATTCATAATCAGATAGCTCATATTTATGTTTACATTCAAGATAAGTAGTTCACATATTTACTGTTCAGTCAGATAGTTTACAGGTTAACAGTTGAGAATTAATTTTGGATAGTTGACAAGATTGTATCTTGTTTAGAAGTGCCTTTTTAATAGTTTACAAGTCTTGTTAATCACTCGGGTCTTTTGCAGTTAAATACCAATACACGAAGCAATGACTTCACAAACAACAATAACAAGGTGCTTTTTAAGCTATAAGTTAACAATTTTTGTGAGTTCAACATAAAACTGTCACAGTTATTGGACGTAAGCCACATAGATCACCATTATATAAGTAGACCATTACTGCTGTATTGTAGACTAGACTTTTGGGCTAAAAGCAGGATTTCAGATGGAATTAAAGCCTTCACAGAAGCAAAACAAATGAAATTCTTCTTTTATTGCAAAGCAAAGCTGTGTTTCCTCCATTGATCATCAGACAATATAGCACCTGCTCCCAGCCCTAATACATACAGCTTAATCCTTCATTTCTACCAATGCCATCAAATTGAATGTTATCTGATCTGGATCCCTTTTCATAAATTCACGAACAACTTTTACTGTATCTTTAAGAAGACCATCTTGAGTAGTTTCACCATGTTTTACTGGACCTTCCTTTCTACCATCTAATTCATACAAACTACCATCTTTATGTACAAATGCAACAAAATGTGCATTGACCTCATCATCTTTACCAGGTGTCCTGGTTTGACCCTCTTGAGCACTATCTTGATGTGCTGAACCCATTTCTTGATCTTCTTCCAATGCTTTTGCTCTTTCTTCAGGACTCATTGGTTTGGTCTTTTCAAGAAACTTGATGAAATGCTTGTTTTTGTCGAAATTGATCTTGTCTGCTGAATTGGCAATGGCATGAACAATGCCAACTGTTCCACAAGCATTTCTGATGGATTGTTTCGTGTAATATAATGGTGCTGGAGGGTTAGAATCGACAGAACCAATTGGATTGGCAGATACTTGGTCCGTGTCTGGAAATAACAAGATCACTGCACTAACTGGTTGTGGTACCATTGCTAGTAGTTCATCGTCTAAACCATAAATATCGACAAATTGCCAGTTTTCCGGTACACCTAATGCTCGTACATATTTGTTCAAAACATCAGGATTTGATTCTAGTGGAATCCAACGTTGTTCAGACATGATGATTATGAAAAATAGAAGGAATTTTACTCTATGACGGTGTTACTATTTCTGCACCGGTTAAAATATGGTGGCACGATCAATGAATTTTTGTTGTCAAGATGGTGTGGTGTATTTTGAATCAAAATACTTCGTCATTAAACCTAGAAAAGCTTCTGATATTTAAGATCTTAGATAATTTATTAAATGAAAACAATCAATTTCAAAAAAAAATTAAAGAGTTGATTGGTATGTCAATTTAAAACTAATTATAACCCGTGCCGTATTGACATAATTGGATCCACCAATAAGACTGGAAGTCACCGACTACATAATCGGAATCGTCTTAAATATAAAACTGACAAAAAAAAATTGTTCGATTCCGCATTACACTTAAAAGATGATTTTGACGATTATTTTTGATTTATAGTATAAATACAGATGAAATGTCAACATACGTATTTGTACGTCTTAATTATAATGAGAAATGAGTCAAGTATAAGAGTTGTCTGCCCCTACATTATTAAAAGTTACAGTAATCCGAGAAACTCTGACACTAGAGGTTCGGCAACACTTTACTTATTTTGAATATGAAAATCTATCTGTCAACGCCCTAAATGTGTCTCGCCCCGATGATAATAAGAGGGCGACATGCCCCAAAGCCTTCACTTTTTTTTAAACATGGGCGTAAGAAATGTTCAATGGCTCAACATTTTACATCTTTTTCTATTCTTCTGTCAACGCCCCAAGTGCGTCTTGCCCCGATAAGCAGTACTAACTGTTTCGTAAACCATGAGAACAAGACAAAGGCCTAGATAATGTGAGGCTGAAACGTCTCAAGGAAACCAGATATAGATATGGATATAGAGTTGAATAAAGAGGACAGATAAATACTCGATCTAATGATTAACATAAGGGGTGTACCCTAAAAGACCTTATAGGGTCTACATGTAGTTCAGTGGTTCAACCAGAAAACATTGGTGAGGTGACCGAATAGGGGCCACAAAATTTCGTCACTATGTAAAATAACACGAGTGTATGTGGAAGGGGGGGGGGGGGGTCAAAGCCTAGCCATCCTTTTGCTAACACCCCAACTCTCTCACCCCTCCGTAGAAACGTCACTGATGTGTTTGCGAACCTGCTAATAGACAAAACATCTAGGCCCTACGTGTAGCCTGCTGATTTAAGTCCATCAATAAAACATCAAGTGCAATGGTTTACTTTTTTTTAAATATTTTAAGTAAATGTTTATTACTTCTGTAATTAAAATTAAGACTTGAAATTTTTTATACTTAATGACAATAATCCAATTGTGCAAGGTGATGGTAAAGACGGTATATCTTTTCTCCATTACAATGGGGTCAATATGTAGACCTGTTTTGATTGAAGGGTTAAAAGCAAGGACGCAATTTTCAAAACGATCTAGATATGTTGCTTAGTTTACACAATATTCACAAACTCTTAAGGGTTGCACATGTTAGTCCATTGCTTGAATAAGGTAATATTTTTATTAATTGGCATATACCAATTTTCATCCTGTTTATACAGCGGCGTACTGCAGGGTTAAGCGTTGGATCCAGTTTTATTCTCAATAAATTTGAATGATATTCTGAGAATTGCCATATTTTTAATGGTATTTGTCTTGTGTTTTTTCAGATAAGCATAACCTACAGATTATCACAGATTCTGCCTTTGAGTCTTCTATGTTTTGAAGACAATTTGATAATAACAAGCTGAGAAGATGTATCGTCCGTGGATTTTCCTCGTCATTCTGGCAGTAAAGGTTAACAATAGCCATGCTGGAAACTTCCTGCTATTACCATTTCCTGTTACCAGTCACTGCTTAGAGATGGCAGGTATTGCCAAAGAACTACTACAGCGAAACCATTCAGTTTTCGCTTATCTACCTGATACATTTAAAACTTCCAATTGTTTCGATGGATCCAAAGTTGAAATAATAACTTATAAACCAAGTGAAGAGTTTGTTAAACATAAACATACAATCGAAACACACATTGTGGAAGCAACTTTTGCTGGGAAACAATTTACTCACAACCTCACGTTTTTGTCGGCGTTTTTTCACATTGGTGCTCCGATGTGTGAATCAGCATTAATTGCCACAGACAAAATGAAATTGTTGAAATCCAAAAATATAGATATAGCTATAATAGACTCCATGCCAACAAGCGAGTGTTACTTTTACGTGGCTAAATATTTAAATGCTGAGGCGGTAATAGAAGGGGCAGCTATATTTCCGGGATTAGGTACTGCTGCTCAAACACATGTCCATCCATTTGAATTGTCTTCGTTTTCATCCAGGATGAGTTTACCAGAAAGAGTAATGAATACTCTATTGACATTGGGTGTTGCACTTGGAATACGGATTTCTCACATTTTCAAGAAGTTGGACAAAGCAAAGTTAAAGGACTATGTTCCTGACGAAGTCTTGGATGCAGATGTCAATGAAATGATGAGAAAGTCTCTTCTGTTTATAGAAAATGCAAATGATATATTGGACTATCCTAAAGCTCTGTATCCAAACCATATCAGAGTCGGTGGATTAACAACACGTCCAGCAA